GCCACTCATTTATTGCTTTTTCTTCTAATGAAATGCAAGCACTGACAGTGATGTGATGTCATCTGACAGATACTCCGCTATCTGTGTGAAACATGACATCATAAAAGTGTGACTGATTGATAGACTTGTGGAGAGGAAGACAACAAATGACTCTGGGAGGCCCGATCCATGTGATAGACACGTTCACTTTACCGTTAACGTGCACTGACAGAAAAATCTGTGCGGACCCCCATGAGGCTGTTTTCCTGTCTAGATTTAGCACCTGAAGGGCAGCCGAATGTGAGTGAGAATGAGAGATCTCATGAATAAAGTCTGTTCAAATCTTTTCCTCTTGCCGGTACATTTACATTTTATTGTTTAAAAATGTGTCTAACCCTCCCCCATTTTTGGTCTGTAGATGTGTTGTACAGTAGAGTGTGAAAAAGTGCATGCATATATTTTCTCTTGACATTTTCCCTCTCTCGTTCTCTTTCCAGCCCCTGGGCGATATAGACAGTTGCAGCAGGTGTGTGAGTGGGCGAAGGGTTTCCCTGGGGAAGTCACAGGGGCAAGAAGGGGTCAGTTTTTAATGGGCCTGTCTGCCCTCTTCGCCTCCAGAAGAAACCCCCCCTTCCTCTCTCTTTCCATATCTCTGCATCTCCTTTGTCCATCTTTTCCTTTCCATGAGCTTCAGCGCTTGTTCTCCTGACCCGCCAGTCAGTTTGAGTGACGTTATCAGGTGATTACGTTTGATGAGATCCTGCTTGTGTTGAAGAGTGAGAATTGTCCATGGGAGAGAAAGAAAGGAGGTGTCCATCTGGTGGTATCTTGAAATATCTGTTTGTGTTTAGTCAAGGATAGTGCTCGACTCTGAACAGGTGTTGGTGTCAGTGAAACCTCTGGAGACGAGGGGGGCCTTGCACGGGGAACGCTAATGTCTGGGGGGACAACATCATTCAGAAATGTAGCCTCAGGACCATGTTCAGGACTTTTTTGGATTTAAGAACAGGGGAATAGATGAAGAGGGAGAATGATTAGTGTTAAGTGAAGTCACTCATTTGTTGTTTCTCTTCTCTGTAATTTTGTTGAACTTGTCTCCTTTTTTCTGCCTCTCGGGTTTTTTGCCTCTGTTGTGTTCAGGGAATGTTAAAGGGACAGTTCGTTCAGAAAGTAAAGTTGTTGTTTACTCACCCTTAATTTACTGTGTGCAGCAAAGCTTTAAAATTGTTCTTTTGTGTTGGATCTATTCATTGAATCAGTTGATCTGCTTTACAATTGGGCTGGTTTACAAATGGGACTTATCCAGTTTATAGAGTTAATATATTAATTATTTACAACGTTTGATATTGACCTATGAAATCATAATTGACGTTTCTTCTTTTTATGGAATATTGCAGTTTATTATAAATAATTTATCTATGTGCATTATAAAAAAAAAAACAATCCAGTCTGTTCCTTTTGGACAAAATCAAGTCCCATCCTATATTTCTTCTCATTCGAGAAGCTAATTCACTATTATATACATCACCATAATCAAGAAAAGATTATTGGAATTTGAATTTACCGTAGCTTCATATTGCCATTAAAATTACTTTAAATATAGTGGTAACGCTTTACAATAAGGTTCATTAGTTAACTACATTAGTTAACATGTACTAAGGCTGAACAATACTTCTTTAGCATTTATTAATCTTAGTTGATATTAATTCCAACATTTACTAATACTTTATTAAAATCAAAGGTTCTATTAGTTAACATTAATTAATGCAATGTGAACTAACATGAACGCACAATGAACAGCTGTATTTGTATTAACTAACATTAACAAAGATTAATAAACACTAACTTATGTAATGCTCATTGTTAGTTCATGTTAGTTAATGCATTTACTAATGTTAACTAATGAACCTTATTGTAAAGTGTTACCATAATATAGTGCATGATTTATATGGGCTACATTTGCTTCCTTTTTTGAAGCTTGAATTCTTTAGTGCCAATTCATTTTAACTGCAAGCAAACAAAATTGGTGCATTTTTACAAAATCTTACCAGACAAAGACAAAAATCCTTGTAGTGGCCAGTGTTGGGTAAGTTACTCTAAAAAAGTAATTAATTACTAGTTACTAATTACCTCTTCAACAGTGTAATTAGATTACTGTACTAATTACTCTCTCTAAAAAGTATTTAATTACTTTTAATTACTAATTACTTTCAAAATTTCATAACAATCTCAACCAGCTGAATAATTTAAGGATAGACATGAATCTGTTTTAATTCTTTCAAATAAATACTATGAAATTGCGTGAATAATCTTTAAACTGACCAAGGTGGAGGTTACATTATAAAAACATACTTTTAACATCAGACAATACATTTTAATGTTAATTTTAATTGTTTAGCCTCCATCAATAAATGGATGTCTGATAACTTTTTGCAGCTAAATTCGGACAAAACTGAGGTGTTGATTATGGCTCCTGATAAAATTACTCCAAAGATTAGGCAGGCCATTGGGGCTTTATCATCCTCAGATGGTGATGTGCTACGAAATTTAGGTGTACTTTTTGATAAATCGATGAGTTTTAGCAGTCATGTTAAATCTGTGGTTCGTTCCTGTTTTTTTCATCTCAGAAACATCGCTAAGATTAGATCAGTGGTTTTTAAAGAAGAGTTGGAGATGCTTGTTCATGCTTTTATTTCCTCTCGTCTGGACTACTGCAATGCACTGTACACTTGCTTAAACAAATCCTCCATGGAAAAATTGCAAGTTGTGCAGAATGCTGCTGCACGACTGTTGTCAAAGACAAACAGGAGATCACATATCACTCCTGTGCTTAAGGCTCTTCACTGGCTCCCAATTAGTTTTAGAGTGCAGTTTAAAATTTTAACCATTACCTACAGAGCTCTCCACCATCAAGCTCCTTCGTACATCCAGGACCTTTTTCACATTCACTCTCCCGGTCGCTCCTTGAGGTCTTCAGGCCAAGACCTTTTTACTGTTCCTAGAACTCGTTTTAAAACAAGAGGCGATCGTGCGTTTTGTGTGGTGGCTCCAAGGCTATGGAATTCTCTTCCATTAGTCTTGAGAGCTTTGGACACTGTAGAAAATTTTAGTAAACACCTTAAAACACATCTTTTTAGACAAGCTTTTAACTAGCTATATGGTGGTGTTGTAATGTGTGTTGTGGTTTTTATTTCTTTTATTATTTGTTTTTTTTTTAATGTAAAGCACTTTGTGACCCTTCATGTCTGTGAAAAGTGCTATATAAATAAAGTTTACTTACTTACTTACTTACTTTAATGTTGAACCCACTATTGTTTTATATCAGATCTCATGACATTTCACACTTTTTTCATACATATTTTAGTGCGGTCGTACGATTTAGACGCCTCATAAAATGCATATGAATCGCCGTGAGATCGGATTGATCTATTCACAGTATTTACCTCAATTACATCAGAAGTAACTGTAATTAAATTACAGATAAATGAAGAGTAATCCCTTACTTTACTTTTTCAAGGGAAAAGTAATTAAATTACAGTAACTAATTACTTAGTAATTAGTTACACCCAACACTGGTAGTGGCTTATACCATTAGGGGGAGTTTCATTTTTGGATGAACTATACCTTTAAGTGATGGTACTTCATTACCATGTCGATGGTGAAAAACTAACAATAACGGTTTATTTTTACGTTTTTTTAACAGTATTCAATCCCTTAAGTGTTGTCTGACTGACATGCCAGCTGCTGTCGAACACTCATGCATGCATATGTCTTCAGGTAGTGCAGCTGCACATATGCACACTTTTAATGCTATTTTTAGTCGAATGTACTTTCTGCCGAGCTAAACACAGTTGGTTATGTCCTAAGTGAATGAAAACAGACAGCATTTGAACATGAACTCAAAGTTTGGCCTAATGGGGAAGACAGACTGCAGTGCTTGTTTTATTACAGTTTCTTGTCTTTATTCATCTTCCTGGATCCAGCTGCACCTGGTAGTCTCTCTCTGGTGTGGTTTTATCGCCTGTTGTAACTAATCTCTGCTATTCACGCTCTCACCACATCACACACATGTGACTCATTGCACAGTGTTTTAATGTGTGGTGTTGGAGGACTCACGTGTGTGTGTGTGTTCAACTTCACATACATTGGTTGTGTAGTGTGTTTAGTCTGTGCTTGTTCAGATGCGAGATGAGGTCAAGTTTCTTGACTCACGGGATCGACTGACATTGAGGGGCCTCCGTTCAGAGGCGAGAAAACAAGAATTTCCCTCTCTGTTTCCCCCCCGTCCCCATAACACATGAGAGAGAAAGAGGGAGAGGGATGCTCTATAAAGCAAACTTCTGAAGCGTTGCCAACAATCTCCAGGCAGAAAGAAAAGAGTAAGGATGGGGGAAGGGAGGAATTGGACCTGGAAAAGAGGAAAAAGACTGAAGGCAGAGGGGGGAATAAGAATAACCCTGGAAGTTGCTACTGTAGAGCCGCTGGTTTAATGATCCCAGCAGCCCCATTGGACTTTCTAGCAAGATTTGCTACAGGGCAGAGACCACAGAGAAACTCACACATTTTTTTCAGTATGTTTTGCCATGTGAATTTGCTGAGGGACATTTTATGTGAAGGTTTTTGGGTTGGGCTGCAGTGGGATATTCTATGCATCTCGTCTAACCTAATTTAACAACTGGCTCAGAGAAATGCTCTCTGATGAATGGCAGCATGTGTTTCTCCTTAGGAAAGTGAAACATCTAATACACTTTAATTATGTGGCGTAAACACCAGGCAAAACTTTTCTCTTTTCCTTTTGCCAAAGCAGTCTGAAATAGTCACAACAAAAAGTTTTTATTTTGTAATTTTTTATTTTGTTTTACATTTTTATTATGTGATCATTTTTGGGATTTTATTCTATGTTACTTTATTTTTATATTATAATGTTTGTACAAATTTATTCAGACTTCTGATGTTCTTATGTCCACCAATAAAGTATTCAATATTGAGGAACTCTTTGTTTCTTTGTTTTTCTCCATCAGATGTGGAGGCAGAAAGTGGTGAGCTAGACCTGAGCGGTATCGACGAGGATGAGATTGATCGTGTAAGTTTTGACTTCACTATAGTACCGACATGGTAATTTGTAAGTTGGTTCTTTAAAGCTGAAATCTGAGATGGGATTTCACATCCAAAAAATTAATAATGGAATTGCTTTAAATATAGAATGTAATGTTATTTGTCATGATTTACAGTCTGTTTAGCTCGTCCACCATGACCTGACCTGAGCGATTTATATATATATATATATATATATATATATATATATATATATTTAATTATATCTTTCTGTTTTTTATTAGTATATCCTGAATGAGAAGGAAATTAAGGTGAAGACCGAACTGTGGATGCTTCAAAATGCAGACTACCTCAAAGAACAGAAAGGTGGAGAAGATTGAAATGTCCTGTTTGTTAATTTTACCTTTGACAGATTCATTTAAAAAGACAACATTTAATCAAGTTTGGAACAGTTTTGTTAGAATGATATGTTTGTTTTTCTTCAGAAAAGGAAGAAAGAATAGCAAAGGAAAAGGAGGAGGGTACATATAAAGAGCGGAAGGTAACAAAAGTAGTTCATAAATGACAGTTGTAGCTGCGAGGGTCGCAAATGTATGAGTTTATCTCCGTATTTTTGTGTGTCATTTCACAGCCTAGAAATAAGTCAGCACGGAGGCGTGAGCCCATCAATGCCAGCACTGCAGATGAAGCCATTGAAAAGATGTTAGAGCAGAAACGCATCTCCACTAAAATAAACTACGATGTCCTGAAAGACTTGAACAAATCCAGCCCAAAAAGTCCCACTCGCCAGCCTGAAGAAGCTTCCACTGGAGCCAAAAGAACCCCCGCGGCCCATCGACGGAAACTCCAACTGACTTCACCCAATATTGGCAAAACTGTCAGCAGTTTTGGGAAGAGGTATGGAGTCCTAGGAGAAAGGTTTCTTATGTCTCGATTTATTTCTGTTTTTCTTCACTCCCTCGTTTTTTCTTTGGATTTGGACACATTCTATTCTAGAAAATCCTCTAAACTCACCGCCTGTTCCCACCATCACAGTCTAACTCCATATCTAATCCAAGCATGATGCAAAAAAATTTCTTGTGTTTAAAAAATGTTTTATCCCTACCAGCTGCAACCGCGTTGAGTGACTGGACATCTTATTGATTTGGTTGTTACTACTTTTTCGCGTCAACCAAGGTTGCCCCCCGCCACAGAGAAATCTTACTCCGCCTAGATGTAAATTAAACGTCAATTAAGATCTGATCGACTATGTTTGTGTCGCATTAGGGAGCATTTTGTGACGGGCAGATTATTTTTGGGTTGGAAAATTGTTGAGCACCTGAATTTTTTTTGTAATACAATTAGGAATCCTGTGTCTTGGAGTTGTAATATGGACAGTCTTAAAACAGATCCACTCCTATTAATACACCCTGATTTTTTTCTTCGTCTGCCCACACCCTTTATTGGACTCTTTCCTGTAACCACCTCAAGCTCTTTTTTTTCTTCTATGCTAATTATAAACGGATACACAATGGCAGGGTACATTACTGTAACTGTATCATGATTCCTGCTATATTTTCTTACTCTGTTTATACGTTTATATTCACATGAACACTATTTTCTATTTTACCATTTTCAAACAAGGTGCATCTGCTACACACAGTCTGCCTTCTTTTAATAAATTATCGCAATTGTATTTTTTTAGGGCTGTCAAACGATTAATCACAATTAATCGCATCCGAAATAAAAGTTTATGTTTACATAATATAAGTGGGTACACTGTGTATAATTATTTTGTATATATAAATACACACACATGCATGTATATTTAAGAAAAAAAATATTATTTATATATAAAATATTTATCTATATACAGTATACACTATATACACAATATTTATATATAATATATATATGAAAATATTTCTTAAATATATACAAGCATGAGTGTGTATTTATATACGTAAAATAATTATACACAGTGCTCCCACATATATTATGTAAACACAAACTTTTATTTTGGATGCGATTAATCGCATCGTTTGACAGCCATGGTATTTTTGTTAAAGCAAAATTCATGTTTTACATCAGCTTAGTAACAGCAGTCTATATATAATAATAAAATTATACTGTTTATGCTGTAGCGCTTTCTGCTTTCACGTTTTCCATGCTGCATTAGGCAAACATTTCCCAGATCACATCATTGACCCCGTTTACACCTGGTATTAAAATGCGATCTGTATCCAGATAAGTTATCCGGATAATAAAAAACGCATGTTAATGCAAGGTGTAAACGCGTTGTGATCGGATCGTGATCGGATCTGCCTGACCACATCTGGAGGTAGTCTGGCTCGCATTGTGTCCGGATCTTTACTAGGTGTAAACGCAATCTGGTTGTTGAAACCACATATGTATATTTTACTCCTCCCAAAAATGCTAAAAAATAAACGAGTGAGAGCGTGTTATATAGGCTATATAGCCTAGTCAGATGCGACACGCGATCGACACGCATCACCGCAGATGAGCGTCTATCAACGTGCAAACATCGCAAATAAAAGTGAAAGTAAGTCACAGACGCAGTTAAAACATCTTCAAGTAAAGAAACGAAATTATCTTACCAGGCCTGTTGCCACTCTCTCTTATTGATGTCTCGGATTTGGAAATTAGCTGATGATCAATAAAATGCCGCTCAGATCTGTTGCTTTTGGTGGCGTGCAATCCAATAAATCTGCATATAACGCAGGAGGTGAAGATCGGATTTATATCCGTTTTGCAAAAACACATTTATGTGGCCAGGTGTAAATGGAATCAGTACTTATTATCCGGATAACTTATCTGGATACAGATCGCATTTTAATACCAGGTGTAAACGGGGTCATTATGTGGTAATTCTTCCTTGTAGCATCTTGCTATACCTGCAAATAGTATTATGGTTTTGCCATGGTTTTTGGACATCAAAAGTTAATTTTGCTGATGAGATTTATAATGTGGCCTTTTTCTTAAAAAAAAACATGTAAATAATGTGTTGTAGTCGTTCAGTACCGTAGTAAAGTACCATGGATTTATCATCTGATAATGCACTTTTTAAAGTAGCACAATCATTTAGATGTACTCAAATTATCATCAAAACTTTAAATTCCTATATGTTTACATTTTATTATGAAGAATTGATTGCCTGAGAGAAAAAGCTAATTGGGGTCTCACTCATGACCCTCAAATGGAAAATCTCCAGAGCTTTGTGGGCCGGACTGCTAGTGTGAAAGGTCCTTATGTTTGTTTCTCTCTTTTTTTATGTCCTTTACCCTTTTGTGCCTTTGAGTACAGGGCAGGTCTGTTAAGAATAGCTAATTCTATGCTAAATTAACTCTGTGTGTGTGTGAGAGAGAGAGAAAGTCCCATGCATATGGTCAGTCAGAATAGCCTCATTCTGCTCTAAATTTAGTCTCTAAATGCTGGGATGAAACACATTAAAGTTTAGAGCACATATTTAAAGTGAGGCCCCACTGTGGCCCACTCCCTTTTTTGAGAATATGCGTGTGTGCTCTACTACCGTGTACTCATTTCCATTTGTGTTGTTAGTCTTTGGTTTCTTCTAGGTTGTCATTAGTCATGGATATTCTCTCTTTAAGGAGAGGCTCTTGGTGGCCCTGCAGTGCACACAAAATGTGCTCCGACAGTTTGTCTTGACACTGTAAGGGCAATATCATGGAACAATGAGCAACTCTCTCTTTTCTCTCTCTCTCTCTTTGAGTGGCCAGTTTCATCTGTGCGGTGTTTTTCTCGTTGATTGAACTGAAAAAGTGAACAGGATAGATCTTCTGAATCATTCATTCTGAAAGTAGCTTTTATCTCTGTTTTTTTCTGAATGGAAAGGTGAGCAATCTGAACATCCTTTTAAAAGCCATTACACTGTTACCATGCCACTGTCTCTCTTCAAGCTTTTCCCTCTTCTCACTCATAACAGCCTGCAGTCTGTTTACTGAATGAAGTCTACCTGAATGGGAGTGTCTGTATTATTCAGTGACTTGCCTTTTACCGCTCAAAAATGACTGTACCTTGTTTTCTTCAATTTTTTTTATTCAGTTACTTGAATCTCATTCTAGGGCTTGGCAATATGGCTAAAAAAATAAAAGGCTCTTATGTATTGACCAAAATTTGGTGTGCGTGAGTGTGTGTGTGTGTTGTTGTGCTGACAGTAAAGCCATTGTATTCCGCTCACTCCCATCCTCTGTTGCACACTGAGGTATTGTTATACACAGACACTCAACCTCCCTTCTCTGCTGTATTTTAACAGCATATTCCCGACACCCCACAACTGCCTGAACATATACCCATCTATTGGTCTGTTCATGCCTCCATTCTACTGAACCTTAAATTTAATAAGTCTCTCAGAATGTCTCACATTCTCTCACTCTCTCGTCCAGAAATAGCTTGTATAATTGCCCCCTGCTGTTTTAAGCCCCTCTCCCTGGTTCTCCTCCTCTGGTCATTTTCTTGTCCTCTCAGATACCCGCAGCTCAGCATTTATATAGAGCAATGGAGATTATAAAAAGTGTGTATGTGTGAGAGAGATGAATGCCAAAGGGTTTCATTAGAGTTGGAGGTAGGGCTTTGTGAGAACCTGAGACGGATTGTGCTTATTTTTGTGGTCCTTTGTTCTTCCAACACTTCCTCTGTATCCATACATGAGATCATCTTGTGTTAGACATTCACACCTGGCGTGCCAGAAATCGCCATCTCACACCATCACACATCTGGTAATTAAACAGTCTCCTCCTCTCTGTCTCTCAGACAGCTGTTATAGACTCGCTTCCCCAATTTTTTCTTTCTCTCGCTTCCATCGTTCTTCCTCTGAGCTTCCTTCTGCTGTCGGCTCAGAGTTTCTTTCTTAATCAGCTTACTTGCAGAAAACCTACATCTTTAGAGAAAGAGACAGAGAGGTGAGCTGTCTGCGAGATCAAAGTAAGTTGAGTTTTTCTCAAGGCTGACTTGACCCAAAAACTAGAGGAAGTTTTCGTCATCTTCGTGGAAAAGAGAGCCTTATCTCTGCCTGGGACCAAAACTAGCTTCTGAGATGAAGAGACCGACTTCTTAGGCAGTTGCTCATGCCTTCGAGCGCTCAGCAGTAATAGTGTCATACTGTTTCAGCTCTATAAAATAAAGGTCCCTGTTGACATCAGCCATTTAGTCATATGCTGAGAGCAGCTTATGAAATAAAAGGATGATCAGGAAGGTCAGAGTAAATGTTTAAAATGTTAACAGTGATCTGTGAGAAAGATATCATGTCATCACAATGACAAACCAAAGACTCAATAAGAGAGAGATAAAAAAAAGATTTAGTATCTATACTGAATTTCTCAAAATAAACTTATTTATATTTTTAATGTTAATATTTTTGGAAAAGAACATTTCAGGTGTTTCTGTTCAAATAAAATCCTTTTAATCCACTTATGATTCTTAAAAGCATGAAAATATATCACAGATTTTATTAACTGTCACATAATGAATTACAATATTATTATATTGTGACCCAGATATCAATATACTGCATCACCAGGGCCCTGATTCCCATCTCTAATCATTATTGTTGTGCTATGTGTTTGAATAATTGACCCACTCAGTGGTGTGAACAATTTATCAGCCCTTGACGTAAATGTAAAACTGTGTGTGTGTGTGTGGAACACGCTGTTTCTCAGGAATAGAATGTTGTCACTGTGTTTTGGCTCTGACAGCTTGTTTTCATGCCAAGTACCATACCGTTCCCCATCCCAGAATGCACTGTAGCATCAATAGGACACTTGCATGCTGGGTCATGAAGGACTGTCAACCGTGCGTGCATGTGTTACTGACTGAGAATTTGAAGGAACGTATCTCGTCTGTCTGTCCATCTGTCTGTCTGTCAGTCCATCCTCTCTATTTTACTTTTCCTAATATAGCCTTCTTTCTATTGTTCTTTCGTTATATCCGGTGCTAGTCCTACACTTCTAGCAGCCCCAAGCAAAACTGTGAGTAATATTAAATAAATAAAAAAATGTTTACAGCTAAATAAATGCTTTATGAAAGTATTGCTCTGACACCATCTAAAGCTGTCAGAAAAACTAGAATACAGCTGACATTTTTTTCTAAAGGCGTGATTTATTTTAACGAAACTAAAGCATAAAAAATATAGTTTACCCACATACGAAAATACATCAATAATTCTCTAAACTTTAGACCCTAATGGGCATTGTTTCTAAAACACTTGACAGGAGTGACTGAACAGGAATGTTTGATTCTTAAACATAAACCATGCACAAGAACATTTTGATTATTGATGTATATTGACACAAACTTTCTAATGAAGCACAGGTGACTAATATTGACCCTGGAGATCTAGACTGGGGTATTTTATTTATTTATTTATTTATTACAAATTTATTGGTTTGTTAAGAGTAAATAAGAATTTAAAATGTTACAAAAATACATACCTACTTTGTTCTTGGCACATTTTTATCTTTTTTTTCTGCTCCGGACAGAAAGCTTTGTTTGGAAACCATAGCCATGTTAAAAGACGATCTACTACTCACTACCATTGTAGAGAATTTAAGTCGCCAATGTTTCAATATTGCGCTGACATCTTGGGCTGATTACGGAGGCCGAGTCTGCGCAGCAGTGATCGTGAAGTGGAGCCGTGGTATCAAGGCCCCGCCCACATCTGCAGAATCGGTTAGTACAGTTTACTGATGAACAACTCATTATGTCGATGTGAAGTACAGTTCTGAAATGTAAAAATTTGATTTAAAGCTACAATCTCCTCCCGAAAATCCCCCAAAAAGTATATTGATGCGTCAGTGACTACTCATTAACTTTAATTTCATTTCCTCATTTACTTTGAAACAAGGAGAAGCACTGAGAAGTCTTAACCCTCACACTCAATTTTCTTTAATTTACTTCTTTTTATGACAAACCGGACTGAAACCCACTCAAAACCTACCCTTATACCTAAAAACCCTTTCAATCGCAGGGCAAAACGGGAATGAGGAGTCACAAGGTGACGTTTTGGATGTGGATGGAGTTGGATGTCCTACTTGCATTAGATTACTTGCATTAGATTACATGGAGAGGGTGGTGTTTAAGTATACCAATACTGCACTGTGTGGCACACTTAATGGCTTAATCCAAAAGCGCCCCCTAAACCCTACGTTAGCCCTTTATGGTTCATTTGAAGGAGTATATGAAAATGAGTGAGCGAATTCAGCCGTTGAGTACATCGATTATACACTTTGTTTTGCGGTTTTGCAATGTGGCGCACTCAATAACATCCACTATGGTCTAACATTTTAGGGTGATTTCGGATTCAGCACCATAGTCGTCATTATCTGCCGCACTGCATGATGTCCAAAACAGCTATTAAATTAATATAAATTATTAACTAGAAAAAAGAAATGTTGCCATTTTTTGAATGACATGAATATATAATGATATACTCCTTGTATAAACTGTGAAAGCAAGGGGGCCCCCTGGTGGTTCAGGGTCCATACGGAAACATCTTGTGTAGTTTGCGTATAGAGGACCGGCACTGGTTATATCCTTATTTTCTATCCTCCTTTCATTATATTCTCCTTTCTATCGATCATTCTCTTAGTCTGTCTGTCTGTGAGAGATTTTTGTGTTTGACTTGAGTTTAAGAGTTTGAGTAGATTTGGGACGCCTTGTGGTTATATAAAGAGAACTGCTCCCATGAGAAATGAATCTCTTCTGCATATTCAGATGTATCATCAGGAGAATCATATGACTCTGATTAGCGTTCATTTATGCTGCGAGTTTAGTGCATCATATCCGTACCTCATTAACATATCTTACATTCTTTGGAATAATGAGTAAACTCATTATTCGAACTGTGCCTCTGCATGTTGACTTGCAAACACTGGGATAAACTGCGTTGCTGGATTCTTCTTGTCCTATCCCCCCATCTCTCTCTCTCTCTCTCTCTCTGTTTGTCTCTTGATCTCCCCCTTCTGTTGTCACTTGAGATGCCATGTTTATTCCTTTGGAATTGTACAGTGAGAGGTTTGAGGTAATTCAAGACAAGACTTGTCCATGTCTACCACCACCTATGAAAATGTGCTAGATTTTCCAGTGTTTTTTATGCATTTTGTTTCTGAAAAATATAGTGAATACATTTTTACTAAATATACAGAGTGACATTTCATTATGAAGCGGGGGTTTGTTAAGTCCCTGTGGGTTTATAAAACTTGTGTTTTTCTGGGTTGGTAGAATTTAAATTCTGTACGTTTAGGGAATTCATTTAAATAATGTGTCAAGATTTGCATTCTAATAAGTCAGTGACTTTTAAAGCAGTGTTTCTAAGCTGTGTGTCAATTTGAGCAGAATTGAAAAGAACTGACGAGGTAAATATAAAAATGTATTGGACTGTATAGCATGTCATTTTTGATTCTTGTGTGCAGCTTTTGTTGAGAAATAATCCATGTTCTCTTAATGATCTTGTCTATCTTTTTCACTGTCTCTCAATTTCAATTTTTAAATTTCAAATTTGCCATCGTCCCTGATTGGTCTTAACCCCAGTGACGGGTAGGTTTAGGGGCGGGGTTAGGGATAGGCCATTGTGGGGTCTGGATAACAGGACAGTACCATTTCTTGTTGCTAAATGTATTCCATTAATATCTAAAGTGAAGTCGGTGGACATAAATTCATCTAGCATTTTTTTTTATATAATTAGGACTGTTCATGTTTTCTTTGAATTTATCCGAGTTGGGTTGATTCCATTTTAAGTTTAGGTTTCAGAGGAAACAGTTTTTCAGATTTTAGTTATTTCACACGGTGGGTTTCAGATAAAGCACAGTTTGGTAGTGATCGGGAGCTGAGGTCTGACTGTGAAGGCATTAATAATAAAGTTTGGATTGATATCTGTTGTTGAATAATCAACCACACTAGTTCCAAATCTGGAGCAGTAAGTGAATCTACCTAATGTATCTCCACGAATTCTGCCATTGATGTCTCTCTTTTTCTCTCTTTCTGTTTCTAAGGTTACAGCCTTTGGTGTGTGCACAACCCTCGAAGAAGCTGGCCCTGGATCAGGTGAGTGAATTTAAATTACAGTCCGTCATACTAGCACATCCTTGGCAGGTCTCTGGATATATTAAACTAATTTACCTTAACCCTCAAATGGCCTCTGGCCCAGAGCTTCACTTAGTTTAACGCTGGTGCAGAAAAACTGCATTAAATTGACCTAGAAACGGGTTCTTCCTTTTCATGTTTAAATTAAGAGAATTATTTTGATCCGCCGAGCTTCTCCTAGATCAGCAGGCTATTTCTGTGGCGATACTCAAAGGCACCGGTTTGAGTTGGGTTATGGTAAGCTAATGTACTGCCTCAGACTGTAATAGAAAGTGGGCCGCTGATGTCTGGACTCTGAGGAGGCCTTGATGACACATGCTCTTTTCTCTCGGCTCCTACTGATCCCTCGCCGTCATTCTGGCCGTAGACCGCTGGAGCTCTTCAGTGCCTCTGTCACTCCCTCCGGCTGTTTCGTCCATGATGCTTCATCTTTCTGTATGTCAGGGACCTTGATCTTTTCTTCTCTGCCTTGTTTTTCCTGTTATTAAGTCAGTCTGTGTGTCAATCTCATGACACTACTCTACTACTGTTAACTGTCTCTACTACTGTTAAACTTCTGTGAAGATGTGTGAATACATAATCACCCCCCCCCCCTTCACATGGCAAAAGGAAATGAAGGTTTGTGATTGACATCATTCCCTTTGTCCCTCAGGAAAAGAAACGGCTCATAAATTCACTGACAAGGTTATCTGTTAACTGTGAAGCTTACTTGTAAAGATAAGTGTGATTCTTATTTAATATAGCTTTATAATAGAATCACACCGTCAAAAGGTTTGTTGGAGTACATTGAAGTCAACAAATTTAAATTGACATCCTTTATCTTATGATGCACAAATCATTGATGCTCATTATTCCAGAGAGGAATCGTTATCTTTTCAATCCTACATTTTCTTTTCTCCTACTTGAATATGTTTTCACTTGGAAACAGGTTGAATGATGACTAATGCTAAAGGAGCTGCGAATACCATTTCATGTTGACTTTGCCCTCTAGGAAGGATTTGGTGCTCCAGTGGCCACTCCTGCTGCCCCAACCCAGAATAGTATTGTTGTAGAGAGCGGACCGGTGGCGTACGATGAGCCTGCAGATGAAGAAGACGAGGATGATGAGGATGAACATTGTGTCAGTGCCGTGCAGTTAATGGGCAGCACGGGTATGTGATGCAAGTCTTTGACCTATTAGATGATTTTTTTTTTACTATTCATATAGACTTATTAATTTAGAACAATGTCATTATATTATTATTTATATACTATTGTAGTATTTATTAATATGTTGAATTAGCTTTTATTTTTATATTCTCTCTTATATTTTCATTTTGTTGTGCATTTCTATTTTTTTGTTTTATTTAATATTTATATTTATATCATATTTATATATATTTATATAATATTTATATCAAGCTTTATTTTTATTTCAGTTTTAGTTTGAGAAATTTTAGTACTTAAAAAAAGAAGTATCTTTTCATTGTTTTATCTTATGTGTTTATTTTTTCATTTATTTGCAGCTGTATTTCAATTAACAAAAACTATTTTTAATAGATTTAGTTAACAATAATAATACTGCTTTAGGGGCTTTCATCCTTTTCTAACCAAATATAGTCCCTGAATATTAAAAAAATAGATTTTCTCAAATAAACCTTATTAACTTTTGTAACGAAGAGCTTTAACCTTTCTATTTTATGTGCTTAAAAGATTAAAAAAGGTTACGTCATGAATGAATGAATTTAAGATTACATCATGGAAACTATTCATTCACTGTAAAAAAAGATTGTTGGTTTAACTTAAAAATTTAAGTAACCTGGTTGCCTTAATTTTAAGTTGTTTGAACTGGAAAAAGTAAGTTAATACAATGATGAGATTATTTAATCTTTAGAAACTCAAAATAATAAGTTATCTGAACTAAATAAATTATTTAAGTTGATTTGACAAAAGAAAAAAATGTCATAACAAATCTTGAAAATATTTTTTTACAGTATATATAAACTTGGTTCCTTTTGACACTTTTATTATTATTTATAAGTATCCTTTTGTTTTTTATTATTATTATTATTATTATTATTGTATGATTTTATTAGATCAGAAAAGAGAAGACGTTTTGTCCTTAGCTTTCTGCATTCCTCTCCTTTTCTTTCTACAGATTATGGTTATGAATTAGATGACGATGATGGCTTCTGAATCCAGGGATGGGAGCACCAGTGGAGAGGACACACTAAGATTTAGCCTGCTGCTTATTTTGACACCAAACATGCAACACACATGCAACAACCTCCATCTCACTACTCCTTGTGTTCGTGCTTATGTTTGCAAGATGAAAACAAATATTGTGAACTTTACACACAACAGAGGAGAAGAACTATAGCTAAACAAGAACAAAGACCCTACCTTCTTGTGTTTGTGCTTTTCAGTAGGTGCATGTTCTAAGCTCATGTGCACTAAGTAACTTAAATACTATTTAAAACAGGAGTATGAGACTAAATGGATGTGTGTGGTGACTGGGAGAGATGATTCTCTCTATCTCTCGCTTGCTAACTGCATTACTGTGTGTTTTAGGCTAATGATGACATATGATCTTGCACATCTAAAGCGATTAGCCCACACGAGGCTCAGGCCTCTGTGTGGACAAATGTGTGCATGTACACGTGCCTTTACAATGGCAGTATTACAGACCTTGAATAGTATGATGATTTTTAGAGCCAAAGTGTTATTCTTTAAACCAGATGTAGCTTTATGTTTTCAGAGTGGATTACGGGTGTGAAATCTGATTAGTGACAGTGTTCAATTTTGCTCAGCTACCTGGCTAGTTTCCTAGTGCCTTTTTTAATTTTTATTATTAAATTACCCACTGGTCTGTTGCATTTTCCATTTTGGGCTAGTTAGTTGTTGTTGTTTTTTTTTTAAACTTAAGAATAATGTTTAAAAGGTACTTTGATGAGAATAATAATCATTTTTGATTTGATGGTTGCCGCTTTTCTGGTTTATGAAGAGGAGTACTTGAAAAATTCATTCCAGATAAATGCTGTTAAAATATCAATGGTTTGATCTTATTTTTGCTGTTAAATATTTACAAAATGCAATTTATATATATATATATATTTATGTTTTCAACAGGTAAAAGAGATGTGTACATTGTTGGATTGTTTCTAAATGAATTGATGGTTTGTTAATGAAGAACTAAATAGGATAGTTTTAGTATTATTACTCATATCCGAATACTCGGTATCAGAAAGTTGGTGCTCTTCGAGAATGTTTTACTATATTTATACTTCGTTCTTTCCCAGATTCAAAGATGAGTCAAATATAGAGTACGCTTTTTTTTCTTTTCCTGTTAGAAAAGTATTGGAGGGGTTTATATTTTGTCAGTCATGCCACAACACACAGCAGATATTACTGATGCAGACCCAAGCCATTTAGATTTTGATAAAGCTAATAATTACAAGTAAAAATTATCCAATTTAGGGAAACTATCTTAAACTGTTAGAAAATACAGTAAAATAAAAGGTGATCAGTGATTCCAAATTGATTAATCCATTGACCTGGGATTTGCATCCACAATCGATATACCGGTAGTTAAATAAATGTTGATGTCTGTGAACTCTTGCTTGCATAATAAAAACTTTCTTCGGTATGTGAGTCCTCAGGATTCGGTATGTGAGTCCTCAGGATTCGGTATGTGAGTCCTCAGGATTCGGTATGTGAGTCCTCGGGATTCGGTATGTGAGTACTTGGGATTCGGTATGTGAGTACTTGGGATTCGGTATGTGAGTCCTCGGGATTCGGTATGTGAGTCCTCGGGATTCGGTATGTGAGTCCTCAGGATTCGGTATGTGAGTCCTCAGGATTCGGTATGTGAGTACTTGGGATTCGGTATGTGAGTCCTCGGGATTCGGTATGTGAGTCCTCGGGATTCGTTATGTGAGTCCTCGGGATTCGGTATGTGAGTCCTCGGGATTCGGTATGTGAGTCCTCGGGATTCGGTATGTGAGTCCTCGGGATTCGGTATGTGAGTCCTCGGGATTCGGTATGTGAGTCCTCGGGAGTTCGTTGGAGGCAAGGTCTTTTGGAACAGATGGGTTTGGTCTTGCAGCAGTAATAGTAACAATACAACAGACTCAAATCAGTATTCAGTAAAACTAAATAGTATTTATGTGCAAATAAATAAAGTGTAATCATAATACACTACGTCTTCTCTCTTTATTTTTCAGCGTGACCACTGAGTATTTTTATTATTTTTTGTCTGCTTGCTGTCTGAGTCCTTCGACACTATGACCTAAGACAAGCTATCTTCACTGCCACTGGGTAAAACCTGAATAAGGCAAAGAAAAGAGCATCTGTTTTTTTAGGTTCTTGTGCTCAAGGCTGTTGTGTTTTAGTTGGCATAGAAACATGAGCAGTTATAACTAACTGTAAGATCCCTCTGGATGTGACCCTGGAAGTCAATCTTGTCTCTGCAGGGCATGGGCTGCTGGGAGTTGAAGTTCTTAGGGTCATTTGTGTTTACTGGGTGTGACGGTCTTGCCTTAAAGGCTATTAAAATCTCTGAAAGGAAAAGAACTCTGCAACAACATCAACAAACAAGTGTTTTGTTACATACATTTTCCTTTGTGAAACTGTATAGTCTCTATATCTGACATGAAAAGAAAATGTATTTAAATATTTAGCCTGTGATCCTAATGGTATTCTATGGTTCCGCATCCTTTGGGAGGATATCTTGATCAAGATCCACACAGACCCTGAGGGAAATGATGAACGTGGTCTACTCACCTCTTCACACTTCTGTCTTTCTCATTATCTCTTTTTCACTGCTCAGGAACCTATTACTCTGACCTTTTGATATATCACACATTAGAAAACAGTGCTGATCAGAGATCGGGCCTGATGGGAGAGATTGTGGGTTAATATGTGGGAGAGACAGGATTTCCCATGATCGTGAGAAAATGAGCTGAGAGAGAGGGAATATTGATTAATTTTGCTAATAAGAGGATTTTTTTGCCAGGCTGAATGAACGAATCCATGTTCAACACCAACACACACTCAGGGCTGCATTTCCCAGAAGCATTGTAAGCCTAAATTGATCGTAGAGCAAATGCCACCCATGGTTTCTATGATCAATTTAGGCTTAAGGTGCTTTTGGGAAATGCAGCCCAGGTCAGTTAACAGTTCCTGTTGACAAAAAAGATGGGACTGTCTATGGAAAAAGTGCAAGAGTTTATTATTTTTTATTTTTTTGCAAGAGTTTATGCTCTTCTTGATATAGCCTACAGGTTGGTTATAGTAAAGGGCAGTGATGTTCAGGCTCAGAGTAGTTTTCAAACTTCACATTACGAATGTATGATGAAAATGTTCCAAATGTTATAAATGAAATAATATTTTAATTTAATATTAAATATACATTATATTCGCAGTGATATTATGGGTAACGTTAGTGACTGAGCACCCTGGATCGTGATGATCGAGCAAAATGCGATTAACTTTTATGACAGCAAAATATAAATTATGAATTTATGGTAGGCTTATTTAAAACAAATTATTTGTGGATGACTCGTCCACGGTTGCCACTACTAATAATTCCTTGTACGCATATAAATCTATTATGCCTTATTTTCTCGCTAAAATTTAAAATTAAATTAAATTAACGTGTGCACGCGTAGCCCCGCCCACAGTGCTTCTCATTGGTTAGTGGCAAAGTGATGAGCGCATGAGGTCGATATGTAGCGTGCGTGTTTTCGGTTTTCATTTCCGCTGTTCATCGCTGCATGGTGAGTACCTGAGTACAGGCAAGCTACTCTTCTTTTTTTTCTCAAGTTTTATTTACAATTTTTAATTCTGAAGAGGGGTTTAGTATGATGAGAAAATGAAGTGGTGTAAAAATAAGATTGTGTTCTTTAATCAAGTCAAAATGGCACGCATATAACTAGTGTTTCCCAAAGGCATCATAGGCCTGTACGTGTGTGTGTTTATGTATGTTTTGGTGGGATTATGATCATATAGTGTAAAAACCGAACCAGGAGATGAAAAATTAGTTTTAAGAGTTAATAGTAACAATATATTGTGGGACTATTTTCTATAAATAAATTGATTAAATGTGAACTATTTTGCTATTATTGTTATTAATAAGTATACATTTATTTAATTGAACATGACACAATTGTGTTAATTCTGATGCTCTACCAAAGTCCTCTGTCTATACCCATTATGTGACAATGAGCTGATGAGTTGAATCAGGTGTGTTTGATTAGGAAGACAAATGAGTGCAAGTTTGAGGGGGCCTTCTGTTGCTCTGCTCCCAATCTGTGGAACTCTCTTCCATCTGACTTAAGGAACATAAACTCGCTCACAGAATTCAAATCCCTACTCAAGACGTACCTGTTCAAAATATCTTATTTACTGTGAAACATCCATTGTCCTGTTTACCTGTATCTGTGCTATGTTTTGTTTTATTTTATTCTTTTGTTTAATTTGACATATTCTGGTGTTTTTACTTTGTACAGTGACCTTGAGTGTCCAAAAAGGCTCTTTAAAAAAAAATGCATTATTATTATTATTATTAAATGTGCAGTGTTTGGGTCCTTGGCATGGACGTCGTGCACTGAACTTCGCGACGCACTTCCGTGTCTGTAATAAGATTTTATATTTTGGAAATTTTTATTGACAGAAAAGGGATATTCTGATAACCGTGTGCAGAGTTTTCAAATCTCATCGGAACATGAAGTTTAAATCCAAACCAAGCCAATCCGAGAAAGCTGCGGCTGTATTTCACCACAGGTGTCCGTGTTCGTCTACACTAGTGACCGCGTTAATGTGTGAGAAGAGAACAGAATAACATCAGTACGAAAAACAAACATTTATTAATTTGGAATAAATATTGTAATCATTCAGTGTCATTTTTCATTGTCAATCGTTTTAGTATTTTCATGTGCATGCCCAAAATGCTTAATTAATATTCAGAGAAGTTGACTGTCATTCTCCTCTAGCTGTGTGCGTAATACATTTCACATTACATTTCATTTGCAAACGTTTCAGGCAAGGTGTATCTCAAACAATCCTATTCCCTTCCGAATCTTGCAGAGCCAGAGATCGTGAGTATTAGCTGTCCATGAGCTAGCAGCATGAGCAACTTTACAACTCTCTATGGGCTTCTCCCTTGACTTTAATGCATCCATGTCCCCCCTTGCTCGCAAGCTTCTCCTCCTGTAGCTGTACTGTGTGACAGAGAGTCGCGTGTTATGATGCAATGGTTAGCCTATTTTTACAAAAACTGCTACTATGGAGCCATAACGTAAGATACAAGGTAATGGAGCCTTTTATACATTGTTGTGTTTCTTTAGAAATAAACAGCGCAGTCTCATCACAAGATGTCATATAACTGACGTTTTGGGACGTCTTTTGACCATACTTCAATATCCGCCTTTTTAGGGCCCCCCTAAACGTTGGTAGATGAGGTTATCGGATCCTAACTCTACCCCAGACCTAATCCTAACCCTAAACATACCCCATCACCTAACTGACATTAAAGGTAAAGTGTCAGTTGTATGACTGCCCGGGATCGCCATCTACCGATGTTTAAGGCTGCCCTAAAAAGGCGGATATTGATGTATGGTCAAAAGATGTCCCAAGACGTCAGTTATATGACTTCTTAGGATGAGACTGTGTTAAAATAAACTATGGGCATATGGAGTCTTTAAGCGTCTCAGATGTAAAGTTATATGCTGTCAAAGTGATGCCAAAAATAAAAGGGAGTCAGTCAATGGAATGCTAACAGCAGGTGAAGGCTTGTTAGCCAAAGACTTTAGTTTCCGGCTGGTGGATTACCCCCTTTGTTTGGATTTAGCATTTAGCCAGTGTCCTATGATGAGGACGTTAGCTACTCTATTCAAAGTTGCAAAAGGGAAACTTTGAATAGAATTCTTTTTTTTTTTTCAGTAACATCACTTCCTATTTTTCTACTGTTTTCATAGCAGCAAAATGGCTGAATCATCTGATGATCAAAATCCCTTTAACTGTCCGATCTGTCTTCATCTTCTGAACAACCCAGTCACTACATCTTGTGGGCACAGTTTCTGTATGAACTGTCTTAATGAGTGCTGGGATCGAGACAATCAGAAGGGAGTCTACAGCTGTCCCCAGTGCAGGCAGATGTTCGTCCCAAGACCTGCTCTCAGCAGAAGCACGGTGCTGGCTGAAGTTGTAGAGAGAATGAAGAGAGAAGCACCAGAAGCAGGAACAGGCTCTACTGTTCTCAATTATGCTGTGTCTGGGGATGTGGAGTGTGATATCTGCATGGAGACCAAACTAAAAGCCATCAAGTCTTGTCTGGTGTGTTTGGCTTCTTACTGTGAATCTCACATCCAAACTCATTATACATCTCCTGCATTAAAGCGGCACAAACTGGTCAATGCCTCACCACATCTACTTGGCCAAATCTGCCCTCAACATGGTAAACTACTGGAGCTGTACTGTTGCAAAGATCAGCAGCTGATATGTATGCAGTGTGCTTTGATCAACCACCAGAACCATAAAATGAATTCATCTTCAGCAGAAAGACAAGACATACAGGTAGGGCTATTGACTTGTCTGAATAACATTTTGTATCATTAAAAGACTATTCCTTGTATTAAACTGAGGATCTGTCTGGTTTCACACACCAATGTGTTACACAATTAGTTGTCATCCACCTCTAACTGATGTGTTGGACAAAATTGTCACAAATAATATTTCATCATTATGACTAGTAGATATTATACTTGGTGGAAAAAAAACATAATAAGAGTTGGTCAGAAACCCATCACATGTGACCTCACATACTAATGAGTTTAAAAAACTTTAGTGCATTAAATGACAGAAGATCAGCAATATAGTACTGTGAGTACTTGAGTAATAATCACTAATCAGATTATTTAAGGTGGGGTATGTGATTTTTCTTTTCTGACAATTTTTTTCAAAATCACTTAATCCTATTCCTAACCCACTTACAGCCACTGAGTTACAGTAGAAGCACTATAATGAAAATTAAACAGTTTAATCATCTGTGGACCGGGCAGGGCCAATCATTTCCAAGACCACCTTGAATCATTGAACCGTAAGTGGGTCAATCAACCAGTCGTAGTATTTCCCCCACCCCCCTCTTCGAATGGGTGGAGTCAGGGCCCACGTTGGAGGAAAGAAGGTAGAACAT